GCAGCTGGGGTTCACCGCCCGAACTCTTCTCCCCCACACGCTGTAGCTTTTCCCTGATTCACCCCGCGCTGTCTTTTTGCATCGTGCGGGGGAGAACGAAACGAACCGTCTGAACTCAATCACAGCAGTATCCATCCCCCTTTTCTTCTCTGCTCCGGTCGCCTGCTCGCCATCGACCTAGGTGCCCTGACGGCTGCAAAAGGCTAATGAACCCTTCTCCATGTTGATTGGCCCGTCAACTGATTTAACATAGCTTTAGGCTCAGGGCATGTAAATCAAGAGCTGCTCGGGTCATGTTCAACCCAACTCTGGGCTGTTTTCTTTCTCGTCCAAGCCTCTCCCCTCCCCGCTAGCGCCAATTTCTCCGCACGTCGCGGTTTAGACTCCAAATGAAGGGTCACACTCTTGACGGGTCCATCTGGACTTATTTCGACTGATGTCCGTACCTGCTTCCAGGGCTCTCCACTCCAAGCCCATGGATGAATATCGAGTGCCCCTTTAGCCTGAATGCGATAGTGGCATTACCACTGTCTGCCCCGGTCGGGAATGCCCCGATGCCGGGTTCCGGGAGTCGTTCGCTGCGAGTTCGCAGATCTGGATAGCTACCCATGACGCGCTTGGAGCTGGCTTTATAACACCATGCCACCCTGAGTTGCCACGGGAGCTTGGTAGAGCAAGCGCTTCTCCAACTGGCTTTCTTCTCCAGCGGCACCAACCATGCGGACGTCTCTTCTCCTCGCGTCCATCGTCGGCCTCGTTGTCGCCGAGGATGGCCTCGACGGTTGGCTGCGCTACGCCAGACTCCCCGAGTCGGCAGGCGCAGCCAACGCCCTTCTTCCTTCTGCCGTAGTTGGACTCAACGCCACGGAGAACGGTCCGATTTCTTCTGCCCTTTCCGAGCTGCAAAAGGGGTACAAAGGCATTCTCGGCAAGGAGGTCACAGTTGGCAGCGATGCTTGCAATGGTTCTTCTATCGTCGTGGCCACCCTCGACACCTACGTTGCGGCCTGCGGTGCCGACAGTGTCACAGCGGACCTCGTCGAAGATGGCTTCTGGCTGAGCGTCAAGGGCGACTCGGTCAAGATTCTAGGTCAGAATGAGAGGGGCGCCTTGTACGGTGCCTTTGAGTACTTGAGCTTGCTTGCTCAAGGCAACTTCAGTGAGGTTGCGTACGCGACCAACCCGTCTGCAAAGATTCGCTGGGCCAACCAGTGGGATAACATGGATGGCACCGGAACTCACGGCAGCATCGAGCGTGGTGTAAGTTCCTCTGTCTCATGAATCACTGTCCGTCAGCACTCCCATGCTAACTTTCGCAGTACGGAGGAGTCTCCATCTTCTTCGAAAACCTCAAGGTTGTTACCGACATGACCCGCGTCTCTCAATACGGCCGCCTCCTAGCCTCAGCCAAAATCAACGGCATTATCGTAAATAACGTCAACGCCAACCCCATCCTCCTGTCCTCGGAGAACATGGACGGCTTGAAGAGAATTGCCGATGCCTTCAGGCCCTGGGGCGTCCAAATTGGCATCTCGATGAACTTTGCTTCCCCGCAAACCTTTGGTAACCTCACGACGTTCGATCCCCTCGACGAGACTGTCATTGCGTGGTGGGGCAACATTACCGAGCAGCTCTACTCGCGCATCCCAGACATGTGCGGATACCTCGTCAAGGCCAATTCCGAGGGCCAGCCTGGCCCCATAACATACAACAGAACCCTCGCGGACGGTGCCAACCTCTTTGCCAGGGAGCTGAAGAACCATGGCTTCAAGCAGGGCATCGTCATGTTTCGTGCCTTTGTCTACGATCAACTGAATTGGACAGACTGGCACGCGGACCGAGCAAACGCGGCTGTGGAATTCTTCAAGGAGCTGGACGGCAAGTTCGACGACAATGTCGTTGTACAGATCAAGTATGGCCCCATCGACTTCCAAGTCCGTGAGCCTGTGTCGCCTCTCTTTGCCAACCTGGAGCACACCAACATGGCTATCGAGCTGCAGATTTCGCAGGAATACCTCGGGCAACAGGATCATCTCGTTTACCTCCCTCCTCTGTGGAAGACCATCCTGGACTTCGATCTGCGCATCGGAGGGCAGCCCTCCGTGATGCACGACATTCTCTCGGGCAAGCGCTTCAACAAGACCCTCACCGGATATGCTGGTGTTGTCAATGTCGGTGCCAACTCTACTTGGCTGGGTAGTCACCTCGCCATGTCAAACCTCTATGCTTACGGCCGACTAGCGTGGAACCCGACTGATGATGTTACCACCATTGTTGAGGACTGGACCCGTCTAACCTTCGGTCTGGACCCCACCGTCATCGACACCATCACCAAGATGTCCATGGAGAGTTGGCATGCGTACGAGAGCTACAGCGGCAACCTGGGAATCCAGACGCTGACCGATATTCTGTACGCTCATTATGGGCCGTCGCCTAGGTGAGTCTTTCCTCGTGCCAGCCTCCTGCTTTACCAGTGCTGTATTCACTAACCTTATCTATAGATCTCAGGACAACAACGGCTGGGGCCAGTGGACCAGAGCGGACGGATTCAGCGTCGGCATGGACCGAACAGTCAAGAATGGCACTGGTAACGCTGGACAGTACCCGACAGAGGTGGCGGAGATGTATGAGAACATTGACACCACACCGGACGACCTCCTCCTCTGGTTCCACCACGTCCCCTACACTCACGTGCTCAAGAGCGGAAAGACCGTCATCCAGCACTTTTATGATGCACACTACGACGGCGCTGCCACTGCTCAGACGTTTGTATCCATGTGGGAGTCTCTCAAGGACCAGATTGATGCCGAGCGCTACGAGCATATCCTCTTCAAGCTCAAGTATCAAGCAGGGCACTCCATTGTGTGGCGTGATGCTATCAACAACTTCTACTGGAACAAGTCCGGCATTGCCGATGAGGCGGGCCGTGTGGGCAACTACAAGTACCGCATCGAGGCCGAGAGCATGACTTTGGACGGATACAAGGTTGTGGATGTTGACCCCTTCGAGACGGCGTCCGGCTACAAGGTCATTGTCACCAGCTCCAACACGACTGCCGGAACTGCTACAGCCGTCGTCGACTTTGAGCCTGGAACTTACACTCTTGCTATCAATTACTTTGACGTCATCAGGGGCAAATGCTCGTTTGTTGCCTATATCAACGACCAAGTCGTTGGCCAGTGGAGGGGAGACGGGGAGGAGAAGCTGGGTCACTGGCCATCGGAGTACCTGGATGGACATTCAGCCATCCGTATCAACTTCCCCGGGGTCAAGATTGAGAAGGGAGACACTCTCAAGATTGTCGGAACTCCAGACGGGCCAGAGGTGGCCCCTCTAGACTACGTGAGCTTCTTGCCCGATGGTATCATCGATTAGAAGCGATTTTCGCCTATCTATGGCGTCAGTTCTCTTGTTGAAATTCTTTGTATATATTTAAAACTCAACATTTCAATGAATATAAAACTTCAAAATTAATTATGGCGCTTCGTAACAAAGTGATTACAGTTGGCGATTTCCATCTTGGGGCATCAAACCATATACAGTCAAAACCCCACATTTTGGTAGACCAAGATTTGACACAAACTAGGCTTTTTTTCAACCCGCTGAACCACGCAGCGCTTTTGGCTCCCAGGGCCGACGCCGACTCGATATAACTGCCATTGGAGCGACAGCAGACCGTCCATTATTAATCATAAAGCAAATAGTGAGACGACCCCGTTTCCAAAAGAAGTGTCCTGTCGAAAGCTACACCTCAAGGTTTCACAGAGAACCGCTCACTAGACACACGCACTAACACAAATCACAGACGATCGAACATGCTTCCAACACCAGACACATCCCATGTGCCCTTTGAGCGTGTCTACGAACCGGCAGAGGACTCATATCTCCTCCTCGACACCATCTCTGCGCCCTCGGAAACAGCCTTCCTCACCTCCCGCTTTGGCGGGAACAGCACCGCCGCGCCCCTCGTGGTCGAAGTCGGCACCGGCTCGGGCGTGGTCATAGGCTTCGTCGCCGCCCAGGCTGAGAGACTGTTCGGCACCCGCAACGTCCTGACGGCGGGCGTGGACCTGAACGGCTTTGCATGTCGCGCGACAAACGGCACCGTCGAGCGCGCGCGCAAGGAGAACGAGGAGACGGGCTGCCACGCTTGGCTCGGTGCCATGATGGGCGATTTGGCATCCCCGCTGCGCGACGGCGTCGTCGACGTCCTCGTCTTCAACCCGCCGTACGTGCCTTCCTCGGAGCTGCCCGACCAGTCGTCGGACACGTTGAGGATTGGCGAGAGGAAAACGACCTTTGACGAGGACTCGTATTTCCTCTCGTTATCATACGCGGGCGGCAAGGACGGCATGGAGACGACGGAAAGGCTACTCGAGGCCTTGCCTTCGGTGCTTTCTGCTCGAGGATGCGCCTACATTCTCTTATGCGCGCAGAACAAGCCGCAACAGGTCAAGGACCGCATCGAGGGATTGGGAAACGGTTGGAGAGCTGTCACGGTCGGCGAGAGCGGGAAGCAAGCCGGATGGGAAAAATTGCAGATCATTAGGGTATGGAGAGCTGATGAGTAGACACCGTAGAATAAAGTTACTGGCAACCTCTTTTCCATGGTTCTCTCGACTTGAACAAAGCTTAGTCCACTTCGGCATCCATCAATCACCACTTACCACCGCGGTGTCAAAGGTTCATGGTGGAATTGAAGTCTTGATTTCCCTATCTTCCCCAACGCCTGAAGAGCACCCGGTTCAACTTGATGCATATGATACTTTTTGTGCTCTGGGCCGAACTGCAAAGCAAGTCGCGGGTTTCGTCTCTGGGGGTCCCGCGACGATCTTTCCCCCCCTTTCCAAGTCGGTCCCAGGCATCTGCAGTCATCTCCCACGGCGATAGCACGTGGGTCATCCATTCTCAGCCGCGCCCGTCGTAACTGGCTGTGAGTGTGCGTATGCTCATCTGCAGACCCTGGAAGCGCCCTCTGCCCCGTACAGACCTCACCCCATCTAACCACGACCACGACCGCGTCCCCTGCCACGGCCACGTCCCCTTGGGCCGCCTCTGCCTCCACGGCCGCCGGTGCCGCGCTCAGCCTCCTTGCGAGCCTTGTTCTTGGGTTTCGGCGCGTCGTCGATGAGAAGCGTGTCTAGCGGGAGCGAGTCGGGCAGGATGAAATATCGGATGGTGGAGCCACGGATGTTCATGGTGTCGAGCGACACGGCGTCCTGACCCTTGGGCGTCATCTTGACTGTACGAAGCGCCGTGTTCATCTGGGGCGAGACAGACGTGATGGTGCCGTGGATGATGGTGCCTACGTGCAATCGCGTCAGCAGTCGTCCTCAATCAGGAGTCCTATCGCAAACTTCGTGCTTCTTGGAAGGACTGAACAGGAAAGAAACACACTAACCATTCTTGAGTTCAATTGTCACCGTTTCGTTGGCGCATTTCATCAAAAATCTGGTGGTGGGCAGTCCATGTCAGCTCTGGCGCTCCTCGATCATGGCGGTCTTTTGCGATGGAAGCTCAGCACACAGACCGAGTACGATGAGGGGAGAAGGCTTTGAATACTTACCTGACGAGCTTCATGTTGGCGGCTTCCGTACGTCGCGTGTGGATTGGGATAGTGTGGGTGAGAAGGAGGATGTCGCGACCCTGCGTGGACCAGTTGACTCCTAAGCCGCAGAAGCAGGAGAGGCTGAAGCTTCGGAAAAGTTCCCAGCCCGTATCTTGGAAGTGGGGCTAATACAGTCCGTTGCACTGACAGCGTCCGCCCCCCCTTCTTGCCGAAATTACGCACGTATAATCCCTATGTATACATTAAAATTTGCCTAACGCTATATAGATATTCGTAGTATAATAATTAACCTATTTTAATAGTTTTAATTAATTTATTCTTATTAAATTTTATAATCTAAGAGCGTTATGATACCTCTTAAGTATTATTATACGCTTTAATAAGTAGATAATAATTTATCTAAATATTATACATTACTTATTATTAGTAGTATATAGAAATAATAATATAGTATAGGTCTTTTAGTTTTTAAATAATAATATTATTATAATTACTAATAGCTATAGATTTAATATTCTAAACATTATTATATTATTATTATTACTTAATATCTTTTTTAATATATTTAATATAATAAACTATAGATATATACTAATTAGTAATAATTAATTAATAACTAAATACAATCTATATAATAATAAGCTTTTAATTATAAATAAGCTAAACTATTTGAAAAATTATTATTTTTATCAACTATTTAAACTATTTACTCTAAAAAACTATATTAAATCCTTTAGTATATTTTTATATTACTTAAAACTATATAAACTATATACTAAATAGATATATTAAAGTATATACTAAATCTTTTTTTTATTCTTTAGTAAATATTATCTTAATCTCTTATAAAAATAAAATATACTTTTTATTAGTTAATTAATATTAAAATAAAATAACTAACTAGATTAATAATGTCTCTATAAATAAATTAACTACTATAGAGGTATTAAATATATATTTTATATCTCTATTATATAGTTATGTATTTAAATACTACTATAACTATAATAATTCATAGTAATTAAAGTATTAGCGATAGATTTAGCGCGTTCTACGTATAATGCGGAAAAATACGCGTTATAGTATAAAATAGGCTTTTTTTCATGTTTTTACATAAGCGGGGAAAAAAGGGGGGCGGACGCTGTTAGTGCAACGGACTGTAGCCTGGCTGGGGCGCAGCATAGATGCAGCTGTGGCTTATGTTCCATAAAAGTATGTACCTATGTACCGGTGCACCTGCCACATTCACTTCATTCGTCCATAGCATGGCAATGATTGAGGCCAAATTCGACACTGGATGAACGAAGATTAGGCGGGGCAACGTTCAGACAAGAAAATTACGCATTAAACGTCGAGTATCTCGAGGAAAGAATCTACTTGAAAAAGCCCGAAAAAGCCCCTCCCAATTCTTTATTTTGATCAATCATCGTGATCGGAACAGCATCAACCAAAGTTCACTTCGAACCTTTCAATAACCGGACCCCAAACCGGAAGCTCCCTTTCGTTCCTTGCTGCCTGGACCTCAGAACTCGCGATCTGGACGCAGAGACCCACGACAGAATCAGGTCGAACCTCTTCTCCGTCCTCTCCAATCACGCGGACTTGAAGAAACGTCTTCAAGTAGGGCTCGACCTGGCCTGGATCAAGCCCTGCCACGCCTCCTGCAGATACCATGTGCATCAAAGCTGACGTTAATGGGACCGTTCCCGATACATGGTTGGCGGATCCCATGTTCTTCATGGCGAAGACATTCATCGACCCAATCAGATTCGGTGCCGCCGACCAAGAAATAATGTCTCCAGAAACCGCGCCCATGAATAAATGGATAGTAAACGAGCCGTTTAGTGCGCCGTTCTGTACGTGGACATTGGCGATCCACTCTGTGTATGTGTAATCTTCAGTCACAAGACTGGCAGCAACGTGAGGCTCGCGTGAGAAGTCTGGTGACACATCATCTGACAAAGTGCCTTGTCGAAGTTGCGAAAACTTCCCACGATCTCGTCTCCCAAGGGCTCTCTTGCGTTTTTGAACGAGGGTTGAAGGGCTGGATGATCCGTAAAGCCTGTTGATTGCCGTTATGAGGCGGGTACGATCTTCAGACTTGGACCCCCCCTGGCCAGGAATGGTCTCCGCGTATGAGTAGCCAAAGTGCAATGTGTCGTTTGCCATCTCCGAGTTCCAGAATGCGCCGCTGGCATTTGCAAAGAAGGGTTTGAGCTCCGTGAATACGTCGTGGATTTCTCCAGGTGGCATGGTGAAAGAATGCTCCATCGCGACCTGGGGCGTCACCCACGAGTTTGGGTATAAAGCTTGCCACATCGTGACTATCCTGTCCGCCATTGTATGGTGAAGGAAAAACACGGGGTCAAAGGCTGAATATTGGATGTAGTACATGTGGCCACGGTTGCCAACCAAAACATGCATCGCGTCATGAAGCGCTTCGACCGAGTCGAATTGCGACTGGTTGGTGGCTGTGCCCCAATACTTGTTGCTGAAGGGTCCGTAGTCCTTATAATTTGACAATAGAGTGTATAGTCTCTGCTGTAAAGCCGGTCTCGCATGTTCGATGGAATGCGCCACGCTGCGGTTGTCAGTCTTCTCAAACGGCGCTCGCTTGGTCTCTGTCCAGTTCGGGAACTGCTTGGATTAGCTCCCGCACCTCTCCGTCAAGTGCTTGCTGATTGTTTGCTTACATCGCCTTGGGAGAAAACTTTGGGATCCAGCGGATTGAACTTGTAGCTGTAAAGCGGGTTGGCAATGTACTGCCAACCGTTGGGGCCATATATCTGAATGCCTTCGGATTCGAAGTCAGGGAGGAACACGCTTTCCCCGGCCGGCGGTGGAGCAGCCCAATCCCAGTACGGGATGCGAAAATCAGCTGCGGCGGCATGATAGAAGGCACGCTCGCTTGGATCCGTGAACCAGGTAGCGATCATTTGGACCAGGCGAAAGAGAACTTGCTGGTTGGGACTTAGTATGTACACGTACTGCGACTCCTGATCTTCACTAACCTCGTACAGGGCGAGATAGACGCGGTGCCATGGAGGAAAAAGAATGGACATGTGGGTGCAATAGCCCCTATCGTCGATCCCGGGAGCACCTGGAACGCCGTTCCACGGAACGAAAGGGACTCCATGAATACCTGTCTGGTGTTAGGATTTGGCTCGAGTGTTGAGCGAATAAACGTGCCTGCGATCTGGTACCACGAGAGCTCGTCGTTCTGATTCGTGTACTGAAGCATGCTCATGGAGAGCAAAAACAGGTTCCATTTGTATGGGTTCTGCTTCATCTGCCTGATTTCAGGACGAACGGGCACAGTTCCATTGGCGAGGGGAAGCTTTGTGACAACGATAGGGTCTTGTGTTTGGCGTTTGACCAAATTTGCTGCATCGAAGCCGTAATTGTACGTGGGCGAGTACGGGACTGCCGTGGCAGCTGCCGCGAAGAGAATGATGAACGACCAGAGAGCGATAAGAGACTCCATTGCCACGCGGGCTTGGTTGTAATCAAGCGGATTGAAGGACGATATGCGTGGGCCTTGGACCGAGGTGGAAGTGATATTTGAATCAGAGGGATGGAGGCGGGTAACCGGCAGTTGTGGTTGCAGTTGCAGAGGTATGTCGCTCAAGCTGATCAAAACGATGGAACCTGAACTACGGAAGAGTACCTTGTGTGGGACAAGAAGATCGTGGGCTTCAAAAACTGCAGAATGCTTTGATGGTGCCTCTGAGCCAATCCGCCATTGTACAGACGGTGGAAGGTGGGCAAAGGACTGGCGGGGAGTGGGAGGAAAGATATCAAGTCAGGCGGTGGGGACGAACGCGGCCGAGACGTGAAGTATTTCGATGAAGGCCAAGCGCACGAGGCGAGTGTGGCACGCTGTATCCGCGCCATTCACAGCTGCCAGGTTAATTTAGATTGTTTCCCCGGCGTTGCTTCTCCTGACAAGGAAGCATCTCAGTGAAGAAAGTGCCCCCAGAAGATCTACCGCGCTGAGGCACGCACCGACTACTTACAGCCAGCCAGCAGAAAAGAAGGGGTCTTGCGCCTTCTTGTCGGCAAGGACGGCTAGGTAGCTATACCATAGAAGTACCCTGGCCAGGACTACTTCAACCAAAGCAAGCGTCCGCGAGATGACCTGCCTGAAGGCTGTATCCGCGAGCCCCTCGGAACCTCCTCCAATGTGTTGGTTTACATCGGGTGCCCCCTCGAAACAACCCCACAACACAATTGATCATCAGCTGAGCATGCGCGGAACCGTTTGACCATCAGAACATCACTTATATCCTCGTGGGCTGTTTGCTGTCTTCTGAGGCAACCCCCTTGCTTCTGAAATAAGGTATTCTGGTCACGTTACTAAACGGTGGCCCATTGCCAGAACGTACCTGAGGTGCAAGGGCAGTCAGCATCTGCACTTCTGAATCCAGAGCTTGGTGGCAGCGTTGCCTAGGCCGAGCCGGTAACCGATCTCCATGCCTTTGTACGACGGCTACCGGTGTTTCGTGATACGAGTGTCATTTCCAAAGTCTGCTGGAATCGGTTACCTGCATATCGCAAATGACATGATTTCCAATCCGGTCTGGGAATCTTTTGCACGGCCGTACGGACACTGGGCAACAATGTTTGTCAAACCGCTCTTCGGCCTTCGGCCTTTCACACGAAGAGCGCTATCGAGCTCGGAATATTACATTCACCAGACAAGGCTTGGTGCGTGGTGAGAGAAACACATACGAATTGGATAGGGTCTGAAATAAATCATAATCAAATTACAGGGGTGACTGGCTTCTTTTGTCCACCAAACGCCGTCTATGGTAATGATGACATGGGCTTCAATGGGCCCTTGCGGGGTGCGTCGCGGGAATCGACGCGGTACTTCAGCTTGACACCCATAGCTGCCAGCTCAACATCCAGGTACTTGAGCGCACCAGGAACGACAACCATCGTCGTGTTCTCTCCTCCAACCCACTGGTTGCCCTGTCCGTCCTCCCAGATCTCCCCCTCGACCTTGGCAGCACTGACAGCATCACCGGCGTCCAGCTGGGTTGCGCAGTTTCTGCATCGCACCGTCGTGACTTGCTTCTTCTTGCCCACGAACGGCGAGACCGTCGGTTGAACCGAGAGAAAAGAACCACAGCTCCGGCAGATCCACGTCTTTGTGTAGTCGGAACAGTTGAGCAGTCTGTCCTGCAGCAAAAAGGCGGTGCCGTGAGCGAGCAGAGCATCACGTTCCATCTCTCCCACACGAATACCACCACCGCGCTTCCTTCCCTTGATGGGCTGGCCCGTGGTTGGCACGACTGGTCCGGTCGTTCGGACCTGATACTTGTCGTTAACCATGTGACGGAGACGCTGGTAGTAGACAACTCCGACGTAAATGTCTGCCGCCAGTTCCTCTCCAGTGATGCCCGAGTACATGGGCTCGTTACCATGGTAGTTGTAGCCAGCCTTCATCAGTTGATGGCCAAAGTAATCGGCCGCCGTGTTTTCCTCGTTGAACTTGAATGGCGTCGAATCTTGCGCCAGACCGTGGAGGGCTCCCGCCTTTCCGGCAAGGGACTCGACAAACATGCCGATTGTCATACGAGAGGGGAAAGCGTGGGGGTTGATAATGACATCCGGTTGCATACCAGATTCAGAGAAGGGCATGTCGATGGCTGGCCACTTTTGAGAGGCAACACCCTTCTGTCCGTGACGAGAGGAGAACTTGTCACCGATGACTGGAGATCGAGGAATTCGCAGCTTGATAGAAACAGTCTGAGCGGGCTCGTTGCCCGTCTCGCTTCCGATAACGCGGACTTCTTCGATGAAGGCTGTCTCAGATTCCTTGTACTTCTCATAGTGGGTTTGTCCGTCGAGGTTGATCAGCTTGCCGCTGTAGTCTGCTGACACCGTGTGCCACGCGCAGAGGACGTCTCCTTCTTGGACCATGCGGCCGACGAATGGCAACCCGTCCTCGTCAAGAGCGGCGCGGTAGTGCCCCTTGACGAAGCCACCGGGAGCGAAGCCAAAGAGCTTGGTGATGTTCTTCACAGACCTAGTTCTCGACTCGTCCTTGAGGCTGACCTTCTTCGTCTTGTAGATGGTACCGTGTCCAAAGCCTCTTTCATGTGCTGATTTATTCAAGATCATAGCGTCGTCCATGTCGTAGCCAGTGTACGAGATGACCGCCACGACAGCGTTCGTGCCGTTGGGAAAGTTATCGAAACCGTAAGCGTTGTGCAGAGGCGATCGTACGACGGGAGTCTGGCCACTTTGCAACCGGTACATCTTGTTGTCGGTTCTGTGACGCAGAGCAGCTCCCGGTGTTCCCATGGTTTGCTTACCCATCTGACACTGGTACATGTTTCTGGGTGACTGGTTGAAATCTGAGAAAGGGGTCATATTCGCCAGAATAGACAGCATATTCGTAGGACTGAACTCGACATGCGTTGTTTCTCCGGAAACAATCTCATTCTCGACAACGGCGATCGACATGTATGGCTGCTCGTGGGGCCCAACAAAATCTTCCTTGTCCAAAGGAAGATACTTGACGGGTCTGACCATACGTGCGGGCGCAGACGCCAAGTAGACTCCGGGGTAAGAGCCGCCGTGGGAGGGAGGGACGTATCCAATCTCGAGTTGCAGAGGCACGCCGTGGGTACCCTCGACCTTCCAGTGTCGCAGGGTATCTGAGATTCTCAGGGATTCGCGAGGAGTGCAGAAGCCGATGATCCTGCCGTCAAGCATAATGACGACACTTTCGTCAGTCGCAGCGGAAGAGGTCTGCACGGCGCCCAGCTCCGTCACAAGGGCGGGAATCTTGGAAGCATCGACAGACTCGGTCATAATCTTACACTTGTGTGCCAGATGGTTCAGCAGGCCACAGGGAGCACCATCGGGAGTATGTACTGGACACATGAAACCCCAGGATTCGGGCAAAAGCTTTCGAACCGTTGTGGTCTTGAGCTCGGCGAAGAAAGCTCCTCTGTGGATCATTCGGAAATGGCTGATGAAACGGAGGAAGTTGAGCTTTTCCGCGACGACTGTGAAACCGGCCGTTTGCTGCAAGTCAAGACCTGAAGGACTCGTCAAGTTGCCCGTGGACAGGAAGTACTCCAATCCGTTTCCGACGTTCTCGTTGGCGTGTCTGAAGATGTTTCCGGGGAATTCCTTGGCGAATTCTTGAGATGTAAATGGCGTGGCGGGGTGTTTTCTGCACCATTCTCTCAAAGACAGCCTGACAGCGGTAGTCAGGAATTCCTCGAGACGCTCCTTGATAATCATTCCGTAAAGGAAGCCTCCGAGAAGAACCTCCTGGTTCTGAAGGGCATCTGGGTTGTCGACGGCACAGTCCCCAGCAACAAGAGCGTAGAGCTTCCGGATCATGAACAGCAAAGTCCTGAACTTGTCGTTGTCTTCCTTCTCAGTGACGTTTACGTTGCCCAGGTGGACAAGCACGATCTTGCGCAAGAACTCAGTACCAACATCATAGTTGGACATGGTATCCGGAACGCCCATCACAACGCGGAACTTCTCGCCCAAGCAGGCTCTCGTCTCGGTCTTGCTGTATAGGCCATACGACTTGTAGGTGCGGAGGAGTAGCTCAACTCGGTCCGTCAGGAAGGTGTTCTTGGCTGACTTGGAGTGCGACAGGCCAATCAGCCCTTCAAAGATCTCGCGGTCGTTGGTCTCCACCAGCGCCTTGAGGATCATCATGACCGGGATGAGGTACTCATTCTTTTTCCAGGAGAACCGGAAGGTCATATTTCCGTCACTCAGATAGTGCAAGACATTGGTTTGCGATGTTTCGTCGGGCCTGACGGAGCGGAGGATGATACCGTACGGGGTGTAGCCTTGGCCACGGTTCTGGAAGCTGGGGCGGTTGATGGCCATGGGGAAGTTTCGTCGGTTGACCTGTAGCATTCGGATGATTTTTTCGTTGCCGTTCACGATGAAATATCCGCCCAACTCCTCCGACTCCTCCTTCTTTTGCACCAGCTGTGCGGGCGAGTTTCCTTCCAAGTGGCACCTGTTGGACTAAGGGAATGCTATCAGCTGGGCACTTCCAAGGACGACCTGGGCGACGAAATGCGCTTACCTTGACCATAATAGGGACCTGGCCGAGCTCGCGAACGAACTCCTTGGGATCACCATCGTTGATCCTGTACTCGAATGTCGCGGAAAGTCTGCCTCGGTAGGTGCAATGTCGTTCTCTGCACTCGGACGGGAGAATCTCGCGATTGCGGGCGAACTTGTTGGAGGGGGGCAGCTGAGACTTCTGGAGTGACACGCCCTTGTATTTGATGGTCAAGCGATTCTTGCCCTCGGGTCCGGTTCTGTCGTCGCCGTCGAGGTAGGATTTGACGCCGATGTCCTCCAAGCCTCGGGCGAGGAGGCCCTTGCCGTCGGCTCTGAACAAAGCATTAAAGGAGTCGATGTGCGGGCTGACAGCTTCTTGCAGAGCCGGATAGGCCGTGTGGTCCTTGGGGGGGTTCCTGAAGAGAT